AGGCACATAATGCTTTATGAGTTCAAGAAAGGAAACTCAGCATCCGAAGCGGCTCGAAACATTCACTCAGTTTATGGAGAGGAATGTGTGAATGAAAGAACTTGCAGAAGATGGTTTGCAAAATTCAGAGGTGGAGATTTCACCCTTGAAGATCGAACCGGACATCCAGTTGAGTTTGATGAAAAGCTTCTTGAAGCAGCCCTTGAAGAAAATCCTGCTTTATCAGTTGAGGAATTGGCAGTGGTTCTCAGTTCAAACCATACAACTGTTCATCGTCATCTTCAACAACTTGGAAAAGTTCCTAAACTTGGAAAATGGGTGCCTCATAAATTGTCTGAAAACAACCTCAAATCCCGAGTTGATATCTGCTTTTCTCTCCATTCTCGCCAACTTGTTTCACCTTTTTGGATAGACTTGTGACTAGCGACGAAAATGGATCATTTATCAAATGTTAAGCGTCGTAGACAGTGGCTTGTAAAGGGGAAGGACCCCAGCCACAGCCGAGAAGGGAACTTTATGGGCAAAAGGTTCTTCTTTCAATCTGGTCGGATCGCCAAGAATAATCCACTTTGAATTCTTACCCGCTAATGCAACAATTAATGATCAAATATACTGTCAGCAATTAGAGCGTTTGAACCAAGCTTTGAGGAAAAAACCTGCTCTAGTGAATCGAAAAGAGGTGATGTTTCATCAGCGCCCCCACTCAGCAACAATCACGTCCGAACTTGGTTGGGAGAAAATTCCTCATCCACCTTATTCTCCCAATCTTTCTCCTTCAGACTACCATTTGTTTCCTAGCTTACAGAATCATTTGGAAGAAACAGCTTTTGTAACTTACAGGAAAAGGTTAAAAAAAACATTTGTGAGTTCTTCGAATTAAAGCCAAAAGAATTTTACAGTAATGGAATTAGTAAGCTTGTGAATAGATGGAAAGATGTCATAGATAATCAGGGAAAATACATTGTTGATTGAATCTGTAATTAAATGTAACATTTGGTTACTTGTTTTCTTTATTCAAAATTCGGACAGAACTTATGGGATGACCTGATATATTAAGTTTAACTGTAAGAGATAAGGGCATTTTTTTTATTAAACTATAGCTTGATGAATTCTCGATAAAAAAAGAAAAACAAACTCACGTTTTTACCGCAGATTTGCTGCTGCTTCCGAGTACTGAAAGCGAGATAAGATCTTACGCTTCGTCATCTCATCTACAGAGAGCTAATGACATCACTGGCAATAAATATACAAGCAGCTTAAAACAATTTCATTTCATTATATTTAGATCCCCATGTGTTTTCTAGTCCTAATTATGTTAATAGATGTCATAGAAACGTGTTATTATGCCATAGATTATTATTTTACATCTGTGTTAGCATAGTTAAGTAATGTAAAAAAGGGCGGAAATTCTATAAGTTCCGACTTACACGGACAATCACGTTACAATGCATTGTAGGATTGGAACTCCTAGTATACATGCGCAGGTATGCGGAAAATTGATTCCTTCGCTACATAAGACTTCAGAAACATGAGAACTCTTATGTAGCGAAGGAAACTACATAAGACTTTTGAAACATAAGAACTCTTATGTAAAGGAAGGAATCATATTTTAAACAAAAATATTATCATATATATATATATATATATATATATATATATATATATATATATATGCAGTTTCTTATTTCGCAATCGTTAGATTTTTGTCTCCTAAATCCTGTTCTTTTATTGTCCTCTCTCATTAATAATGTTTTATCTTTTCATTTATTATTTCACACTCAGTTACTCTTGGCATCTTAGTGTATTTATTGCCTTGCTTAGGGCAAAATAATTATGTATATATATATATATATATATATATATATATATATATATATATATATATTCCTTCCGTCTGTTAATATGAAGTTCTGTAGGCTTTCACACTATAAAATCATTTAACAAGAAATAAAATATGTACATTTAATCATGCTCTTCTTTCGTTTTGAATGCCATTTTGCATCATGGCTTTTATGAATTTCTTTTTATATAGACTGCTTTTTTGCTTATTCATGAGACACATCGTTGACACAATCATTTGATTGAATCTCGTTCGCTGTCAGTCATCCAGACCCTCGAGCTATCCATTTTTGAACTTCATTAGAAAGCCCACAATTCATAATACCAGCAGACAACACGTAATTTTGACTTCAAAGTTCTATTACAATTTTAAAATTTCACCTATTATTCGGCACATATATATATACCAAGTATATATATATATATATATATATATATATATATATATATATATATATATATATATTGGTTGGGTTTTGTAAGTAGTTTTTCATTTTTGATTAAAAACCACGAACTCGTTATTTTTTATTTACATTTTTTAAAATTGTATTTACTTTTTGAAAAAAGTAAATAAGTTTTTTTATCTTTTTTAAATAATAATAAGGATCAACACGGAACTTTTATATTTTTTTATTATATATATATTTATATATATTTGTATATATTTATATATATTTGTATATATATATATATATATATATATATATATATTTGTATATTATATGTATATATATATATACAAATATATAATATATATATATATAAAATATATATATATATATATATATATATACATATTTGTATATATATATATATATACAAATATATAATATATATATATATACAAATATATATATATATATATATTTATATTATATATATATATTATTATTATATATATATATATATATATATATATATATATATATATATATATATATATATTAGGATATTGCACCGAAAACATGTCAAAGTCGCTATACAATTGCAGTCGTGTTTCGTTGCGTATCAATGCAACTCTTTAGGCGATTGTAAATTACTGGTGAATGAAAGATTTTGGGTTACGATCGCCAGTTATTTACTTTATTTAATCGCCTGATGAGATGCATTGATACGCAGCGAAACACGACTGCAAATTGTATTGCGATTTTGACATGTTTTCAGTGCAATAATCTAAAATAAATAATATTGATCCATCTTTTAAAATTAAATGTTACGAACATAAAAATTCAACTTTATTCGTTCTCATATATATATATATATATATATATATATATATATATATGGTGGGGGGGATAAGTGTATGTGTGTATTATTTTCATTCATTGTATTCAAAAGTGGTATTTACCAAATTTATCTCTTTAGTAGGTACCTCCACTAATTCGCGAGATTTGAAATGAGTTTTTATGAATAAAAAATCATTCTTGAAGCTTTCTTTTTAGCTTTAATTGAAAGCTAAATGATTACTTTTACTATTTCCATTAAGCAAAATATTCTAGTTTATTTCAAACAGAAATTATATCGATTGGAATCGATTATCATTTTTTTTTTTTTTTTGATAATAGCTCATTTGCGTTCTTTTTAGTTTTCTTTCGTCGCAATGTCATACTCTGTATTAAAAAAATCTTCCAAAAATAAAATATAATTTTCTGAAACATTATGTTTTATATATATATATATATATATATATATATAGATAGATAGATAGATATAGATATAGATATATATATTTATATATATTTATGCGTGTGTGTGTGTGTGTGTGTGTGTGTGTGTTTTGAGCTTATGCTAATTTTAGGTTTTAATTTTTTTCAATAAATATGATCCTCGTTAATTCCTTCTTAGCCAGTTCACCCTGAGGTGAAACTTAGGTAGTTAGTACCTGGCTCATTAGGATTTATTTATTTTACTTTGGGTCTACATAACATATTGAGCACTTTTCATTTTAGCTTATTACTCACTGTTTTTTTTTGTTTTTGTTTTTTTTTTCTTTGTACCAGAGATTTAAGGTACTGGACGATTCTTTCGCCCATTTCAGAGATTTCTGGCACTTCCGTTTTTTCCCCATTTTTCCTCGGATAACAATTTATTTAAAAATTGTTCTATCCATTTTTATTTTCACCCACCGACTTTAAATAGATTTACATTACACACACACACACACACACACAACACACACACACACACATATATATATATATATATATATATATATATATATATATATGTTTTCGAAGAGGAACAATCGATTTGCTTATCTTCATACTCTGTCTGGTGCAAACACTGCTGATGGCGCCAGGGTGGCGGTCCCACCATACCCACCGAAAACGTGATATCACCCCTGGTCGGCGGCTGATGATGACAGGGTATCGTGCGTGCTACCACACGTTGTATGTTAAAATATATATATATATATGTGTGTGTGTGTGTGTGTGTGTGTGTGTGTGTGTGTGTGTGTGTGTGTGTGTGTGTGTGTGTGTGTGTTGGGTTGGAACAAAGGTTTGCTGCGCTTCTTAAGTAAATTTCTAAAGCCTGTATTTAAATATTTGTACGCAGATTTATTCAACCACATATGTGCCATATTCTTCCAGTATATTTCGCCATTTTGGGGAAGATTCTAGATTCTATCTCCCAAGACCTTGGCTTCCTTCTCCGTGGTCAATTGGTCATGGTAGTCCTTAAAGGCATCCAGATACTGGAACTTCTTCTCATTGTGAAATTTGTAAGGATCAAAATACCGGGTAATCGAAAGTTTCAAGGTCAGATGATAACGGCGTATGTAGCGGGACATTCCAGCCAAACCATACCAATGTCTGCTAGACAGAATGTCTTTTCTATTGGCCAATTCTTGATGGTTTTCATCGATTGCTAATTAATCGCTCCATCTGGGTACAGTAATTGTCTGAATTCCATGTCTTCCCTACATAATACCTTTTTCGGTCCCACGAGATATCTAAGAACAATTGTCATCGGCATTGGGAGTGGTTTATGAGGATTCATTTCTTTTTTTTTTTTTTTCGGGACTATTTTCGTTCCACATGTTGTAATTCATCCATTATTCATCGTCTGTAATTGTTCTATTTAGAAATAGGTCATTTTGTTGTAGTTGAACAAAGAAACGCATTCAAAAACGCGGTTCATTAATTAATACATCATAGACCTTAAGATAGATAGATAGATAGATAGATAGATAGATAGATAGATAGATAGATAGATAGATAGATAGATAGGAACAGGCCGAGATAGATAGATAGATAGATAGATAGATAGATAGATAGATAGATAGATATGAAAGGGCTTAGATAGATATGAAAGGGCTTAGATAGATATAACCACACTGAAAGAGATAAAGTGATAAACTAAGATAGATAGTTAAAGTCGACAATAGATGAACATGTATAGAATAAGATAGATAGATAGATAGATAGATAGATAGATAGATAGATATGAAAGGCGTAAATAGATATAATCACACTGAAAAGAGATAAAGTGATAAATTGAGATTGTTAATGACTACAATAGATAAATATGTATAGAATAAAATAGATAGATATAAATTAACTGAGATAGATAGATAGATATATTTATACATAGAAAACGATAGATAGATAGATAGATAGATAGATAGATAGATAGATAGATAGATACTAGGAAAGACAGAGAGAGAGAGAGAAAATAGATATGTATAGACATCCTTAAATAGACACATTTATAGACTAAGATAGATAGATAGATAGATAGATATATAGATAGATAGATAGATAGATAGATAATAGAGAAAACGCTAGAAAAAAATTTTAATCTACGATAGATAGCTAGATTGAGAGATAAATAGATATGTATAGGCAACCTTACATAGGCACAACTATATAGACTATGATAGATGAGCAGATAGATTAGTAGATATATATGTATACACAACAATACAGTGGTGTAAATAAGTATAAGACACCCCATGAAATTGTTAATAATTTTCTTATTACTGCACAAATTCCTCTGAAAATTTGTGTGTGGTACCTCGATCCAATGAGTATTAGTATACATATTCGATTTTATAACAACTTTCTACTAAAAAAGTTATTAACAAAACTGTTTTCGAGGGTGGAAATATTCATAAGCCAGTTTTGAAAATTTGCATATCTGGTTTACTTCAGAATGCCAAAGGAAAGATAAATGCATATGCAAATTATAAAGAGATTGTTATCATGATTTCACGTCACGTGAGTCCTATTTATACATTTCATAATTGAATACAGTTACTGCAAAAGTACCTAGGCACTCCCATTTCATGAAAAATGAAAAAGGGCAAATTTCTGCCTATACTGGAATGAAAATCTATAAGTTTTATTGCAAGAGAACTGTCGAGGTTCCGAACAGTTGTGAAAAATATCTAAAGGACCCTGAATTGTATGGCACCAAAAAACATCCAGGTCGTCCACCTAAAATTACAAATGCAGCGAGATGTTGACTTTTTCGAGAAGCTTCTAAAGGACAATCAAGCTCAAGCGATCTGCAAAAATCTCCGAATTTACCCATCACTCCAAAAAGAGTTCATCATTTTCACCATGAATCGCCAAATCTCGTGTATGGAAACAGGAAGACAGTCCCTGCTTTAACTGCTAAACACAAGAAGAAGCACATAGATTGGGTAAAGAAAAAAAGTAACATGGACAAAGGAAAAATGGGAAACCGTGGTGTCTTCTGATGAGAAAAAAGTTTAATTTGATGGGCCCGACGGCTACCGGTGTTATTGTCATGATTTAAGAAAGGAGAATCAGGTATTCTCAAAGAGACCATTTCTTACATTTGGGGAGCTTTTTCTGTATCTGGAAAGCCTGATTTAGTAGTGACAGAAGGAAACAAAACTCTACTCAATATATCAATATGGTGGAAAAAGTCTTGTCCCATTTATGAATCATCTAGACACAAATAATGCCATTTTTTCAACAGGACAACGTAGCCATACACACTTCTAAGCTCATGAAAGACTGGTTTAAAACAAAAAATATTGAAGTTTTGGACTGGCCCACTAAGTCTACATATATAAACCAATAGAAAATTTGTGAGGAATTTTGTCAAGAAGAGTATACAAAATAAACATCAATTTGAAGATAGAGAAACTTTAAAATCTTACATTAAACAGTATTTGAATGAAATTCCATCTGAAACTCTCAGAAAACTTATTTGATTCAAAACAGGTGTGATGAAGTATTACAATTGAAAGGGAATATATGTAAATATTGAATTTTGTACAATTTTGCTGTTAAATACAAATTTTCAAAACTGTCTTATAATTATTTCAACCCACGAAAACGTATTTTTCTTAATGAGTTTCTTAATAGCTTTTTTGGTGGGTGGGGAGTTGTTAGAAAATCGAATATGTATACTAATACCCATTGGATCTAGATACCAAACATAAATTTTCAGAGGAATTTGCGCAATTTTATGGGGTGTCTTATAATTATTTCCAACACTGTAGATAGAAAGATATCTATAGACTACAATAGATAGATAGATAGATAGATAGATAGATAGATAGATAGATAGATAGATAGATATAGATTACGAAAGACAGAGAGAGGCGAGAGAAATAGATATGTATAGACACCCTTAAATTGACACATATTTATAGACTATCATAGTAGATAGATAGATAGATAGATAGATAGATAGATAGATAGATAGATAGATAGATAGATAGATACATATTTATAGGCTACGATAAATGGCAGATAGAGAAATAAATAAATATGTATATACATCCTTACATATATACATATATATAGACTATGATAGATAGGCAGATAGATTAGTAGAAATATATATATAGACAACGAAAGATAGAAAGATATGTATATACTAAAATAGATATGAACATACTAGATAGATAGATAGATAGATAGATAGATAGATAGATAGATAGATAGATTTATGAGATAAATATATATGTATAGGCAACCTTACATAGGCACAAATATATAAACTATGATAGATCGGCAGGTTGATTATTAGATATATATGTATAAACAATAGATAGAAAGATATGTATAGACTACAACTGATAGATAGATAGATAGATAGATAGATAGATAGATAGATAGATAGATAGATTGACTACGATAGGCAGATATATAAATATATAGATAAATATTGACTACGAAAGACAGAGAGAGTGAGAGAAAAATATATCTATAAACATCCTTAAACTCATACATATTTATAGCCTATGATAGATAGATAGATAGATAGATAGATAGATAGATAGATAGATAGATAGATACAGAGATAGATATATAGATAGAGATATAGGTAGATAGATAAAAACTATGAAAGATAGCGAGATAGATAAATAGATAAGTATAGACAACCTTAGAAACACATTTATAAACTATGATAGATAGATAGATAGATAGATAGATAGATAGATAGATAGGAGCAGACTGACATAGATTGATAGCAGGATTCTGATAGATAGATAGATAGATAGATAGATAGATAGATAGATAGATTATATTTATTATTGTAAAATACAACAATTGTGGCACATGGCCTTAAAGTGGGGGTTGGGGTTGAGGTTGGTCATCCTTATCTATCCTATACCTAATAACCGAATTCACGACCCATTCATTCAATACAAATAAACCATTGACCGAAAGAATTCCCCCTCATCTTTTACTCTTACATATAATTCACAATACCACATTCACAAAGGAACCTAAAATTAACTACTTGATTTAAAAATTTCTTATGTACAAATCTTCATAATATATATATATATATATATATATATATATATATATATATATATATATATCAGACGATGATGTGAAATGATGGGTAGGGTTCTAAATCCCAATACAAATATATATATATATATATATATATATATATATATATATATATATATATATATAACAGAAACTAACAGAAAATAATTGATGTAAGTAGGACGCGTTCACCCCAAAAATCAGAGTTGCCGTTGTATTCTGTCATCAGACACAATCAAGAGGCTAACTCTCTAACAGAATGGGGAGGGAAAAATAAATGTAGGGCGTAGGGAAATCCAAGACTGAACCAGTCGAGATGAAAAATGGGGCCAAAACAAACTGGGGAGGTTGGGAATCTCAACTTGGCTCATAACAGAAATAAGGAACCGGGAACAAGCCAGGAATGACACTAACTCACTAGGTACACAAAAGAGGGTCTATCTTAACCAGGGGGAGAGGGTTCGCAGGGAACCGCCCCGTTGTGACGAAAGAGGACTTAAAAAAGGAACTCAAGTATAGCCCCTTTCACGTGAACCAAGCTCGCTACTTTTATCCACCTTCCGTTGAAATCTGTTGACACCAAACGCTTTCTATCAGTTCTGATCTTCACTTTCAGCTGATGTTGAAAGTATCTGATCAAACCTGATGAGAATAGCGTACTTGTCGCAAGATTCACTCCTTTCGTGTCATCAAATTACCATTCTTGCCACTACTAGCAACATTAGAAACACTATTCGTTTCACCCAAGAATACAGGGGGACACATTGTCGCACGCGTATGCGTGATCGATGAGCGCAAGCCAATCAGGAGCGATACGAGCCGTCAGCTCACCGACATAATCACAGAAAAGGCATACCGAAGGACAATGTTAGAAGGCGTCCAAAGCCGTTTCTTCTAAACCAAGGTCACACTGGTAACAATCGGACAAACCCAGTCTCATATGAAGGCCATGTCGTTGAGAGATAGCACGTTATGGATCAATTGCCAGGCAAGCGAAAACTCAGGGTTACTGAGGGTAATTCGCCGCTGGCGCCCAAGACCGGCGCTTAGCCCAGGAAATGGGAGGAGTGATAGTAAGGCTAGGGAAGGCGTCTCTAACACTCCCTACCAAAATCGAATCCTCTGTCAAAACGCGACGTGAAAAGCCAACCTCGAGGCGTGTCGTTGACGTTGCCATATTTAGAAAAGAAAAAATCAATATGGTCTTCAGATATGTAGAGTGGCACTCTATGTCGAGTCACCTTTTGCCTTTCTCGTCCCCATATATTCCGTATGAAGCCTGACTGTCGAAGTAGTTAGGGAGGTTGGGAATCTCAACGCCTGCCAGCGATTTGGCTTTCTCTTCTGTCGGCAATAAGATGTCTCACATTGACTTAATTCCTCTTGCTAGAATTTCGGCTGTTATTTGAAGACTTTTCAGGGCCTCCTCCATCATTTCCCTAGTCACAATATTTAGCTTCCGGGTCTTGGGGTCCTTTGTTAATAACGAGATTGTCCTTGGATTTACCGCGTCCAATACAGACGGCACCGGTAATAACTCATTTCCATTAAAATATGGATCAAACATCTCTTTTAAATTTTTGAAATATTCTGGCCATTTTTGGGAGGGACTATCCCTTGCCCATGCCGAAGACGTTACTTCTGTAGGAAGCAGGAAGAGATTCCGGCTCCGACCTGATGTCGACCTACCCTCGACCTACCCTCGTCACCCCCCAACGCAATTCGAAACAATACACGCAACTCAGACGAATAAGACGAGAAAGAAAACAATCGATACACAAGATAATGGTGAGAGGTAAACAAAAATTACACTTACTCCGAAGAATATCCCACGAAAATGTCTTGTACAGATAGATAGATAGATAGATAGATAGATAGATAGATAAAACACAAGTTAGATATTTATAGGCTACGATAGATAGCTAGATTTAGAGATAAATATATATGTATAGGCAACCTTACATAGGCACAAATATATAAACTATGATAGATCGGCAGGTTGATTATTAGATATATATGTATAAACAATAGATAGAAAGATATGTATAGACTATAACTGATAGATAGATAGATAGATAGATAGATAGATAGATAGATAGATAGATAGATAGATATGCATATATATTGAGGTAGATATATAAATATATATATATGTATAGACAATGATAGATATGTGTAGACTAGGAAAGATAGACTGATAGATAATTATATAAATATATATGTATAGACAAAGATAGAGAGATATGTATAGACCACGATAGGTATGTATAGAATACTATAGATAGATAGATAGATAGATAGATAGATAGATAGATAGATATGTTTAATTTTTTAGATATATAGATAGATATGTACGCATAGACAAATGATAGTTATGTGTAGACTAGGAAAGATAAACTGATCGACGATAAATATGTATAGAATACGATAGATAGATAGATAGATAGATAGATAGATAGATAGATAGATAGATAGATATGTATAGACCTCGATATATAGATATGTATAGACTTCGATAGATAGATAGATAGATAGATAGATAGATAGATAGATATGTATAGACCTCGATATATAGATATGTATAGACTTCGATAGATAGATAGATAGATAGATAGATAGATAGATAGATAGATAGATGGATAATGTATAGACCTCGATATATAGATATGTATAGACTTAGATAGATAGATAGATAGATAGATAGATAGATAGATAGATAGATAGATATGTATAAACTTCGATAGATAGATAGATAGATAGATAGATAGATAGATAGTGATTTATTTATTGTGTGGTACCCAAATACTTTTAAAAACCACACCGTATTATCTGCGACTAATGCTGAATCCATTGCAACGTGCAACCAGCGATAGCAGTGAAGATTTGGGGCGTTGGTGATGCTAGATGTGGGTGTGAGTGTTGTTTGAGGTGAGGAGAGGGGGCAGATCTATGGCTGCTTATCCGTGAAGCGACGCAGAGATGCTAGTTTGTTGCACTATCATAACAATCACGAGGCTAACACGACAGGAATGCATGGACCTCATGTCAAGATGACCTAAACGCGACAACCTGTTCGCTGGCAGGCTGGCTTGATGGATGAAGGAACAGGTGGGTGGAGGGTAGGTAGGGAAGGTAGGGGGAGAGTGACGCGGGCTGTGTGGAATATAATGATGTTGGATGTCTTGGTCGCTTCTTAACATATGACAGTAACTGAAACTTGCAGGTCGTCAATATTATGTGACAATCGTTGTACCGACTTTTGAAAAGTTTTCTGAAATCAAGAAAACGCCCATGACGTTGACATCTTATATTTTATAAGTATTTGAGTGTACGATCAATTTTATTCCTTCAATCTCATTATTTATTGACGCTCTCGGTGACATATCGACATGAATAGTATTGTAATATGCTTGTGAAAGTCACGAATCAAATTTTTGGGACCCATTCTACGGGTTAAATAGCAGGATACAAGCCTTGATTGTCCGCCTGTCTTGGAGAAGAACTAATCCGTATTCAAAAACATGATGAATGTAACGGGAAACCTCTCTGTCTTTTTTTTTTTTTTTTTTTTAAAAAAGATGTTATGGAGGTCCGTAACCGCTTCATCATTGCCTTTTTTTAATCACCATTGAAATTGTTACAGTGACCGACTTTCACCGTCTTGTCGAAAATTCAAAACAAGGTTCTTGCGATTATTATATAAATTTAAAATTATCTCTTCGTGTGTGTTTATGTGTGTGTTTGTGGGTGTGTTGATGTTTGTGTGTCTGTGTGTGCGTGTGTTGGTGGGTGGGTGTTTGCGTGTGAGTGTTTGTGAGTGTATGGTGTGTGTGTTTGCGTGTAAGAGCGTGTGTGTGTTCGTGCGTTCTGTGCGTGTAAATGTGTGAAGATTTTTATTTTAAATAAATTAAAGGTTCACTTACCTTGTTTCAAATCAGAGTTTCACGGAAATTATATTCACTCACCAGGGATTTAAAAAAAAAAGACATATTTTTCTAAGCCTATTGCTCTCTACGCTGGTAACTCTTAATTTAAAAACAGAGATGTCCACTCACTCACGTTTGTTCTTTTGATTACTATGTTAAGACTGTTACACCTCTGCCATGCGTGTGGATGTATATCATGTATATTTGAACCATAATGTATCACAAAGACAATGTTTGTCTTTTCACCCCTTCCTTGTTCAGGATGTGCTATCCATTACTAGCTACTTCCCTCTGCCCATCTCCTCTTTATTATGTCCTTTGAGTGTCAGATTTTCCAAGCTCTCTTTCCTCATTATATGTCTCTGAAATTTCAACTGTTTCTTGATCATAAACAAAAATATCCTTTTATATGTCATACTGCATCAGGACGTGAGCGATCATGGAACTGGACAACTTCCTATCCTTTTTAAATCTTAGTAGTTTTTTTTTTTTTTTTTTAATATTCCTCTCCATCTCTGTTCGACCATCCATGTTAATTAAGTTACCCACTAATTCATTCTGCCCCTCTGACATTCAAAATGTCCCTGCGAGTGTCGAATTCTCCAAACGCTCTTTCCCCATTATGTGTCTCCTGCTGATTCAAATATTCTTTTCATTCTCATTTTCTTTAAAACTTTTTTATTTCTCACATGTTCTGTTCATATGATATTCTTATCATCCTTCTGTAGCCTCAGTTGTCATCTTCATCTGCGAGGAAATTGTCCAGCATACGCTGCCATATACGATGATTGATTACATGACAGCTGAACACTTTCTTTGCAATTCATTTTTACTGTTTCTTAATAATGACCTTTGGCTCCGTGAAGTATGTGGATAAACTTTATCCTCGTGGAAGTGCAATCGTCTTCCTGTTGCAAGAATAACAGGTTGAGGGTTAGGGTGAAAGGTTAAAGGTTAGGGTTAAGGATCACTCATTATCTGTAAGGAAATTGTCCAGCATTCTCAACGTGAAATACCTTATGACTTTTTAATTTTTCAAAGATGATATATTTCATGTAATTTTTTTTAACTTCAAAATAACTTCTAGTATTATTTCCTCGTTTCTTTGGAATTCTCCGCTATTTTTCTTGTTTTGAAAGTAGCCGACCTTTATTTTTTCATACGGTAGGAAGTTTAAAGTGATAATGCAGCTAGCAAGACGCTGATCTTCGCGATAAGAAATTCTAAGTATCAGTGTTGCGTATCAGCCATTTTGTATACCTTTTTTTATCTACCCCTTTGTCGAACATGAACCCGCTTTATGAGGTGCAAGTGTTCATCGAGCAAGGTGAATATACGTAGTTCCTGGCAATTATTTCTCACGGAATAAGTTAGCGGCAAGTCTCTTGTTCAGCACTGAAGTTAGAAAAAGAAATCCAACTTTGTTAAAATTTCCTACAGAGTACTCCCTCAGAACCCTTTCCATATGTTAGAATATTCAGATTCTAAATTACAAATTTATTGGAATTCTACATAACACCTACGTTGTCTCCCTGGAGAGTTGGAATGGAGACATTGAAGACAGGAGCGGGTATGATTGCTGTTCTGGTTTCGAAGACACGTGGAGATGTTGAAGTCGCCTATTTGTGAGTTTCCAGGATGAAGTAGTCTTTGACAATAGCGGCTCCAGGTGAAAAGGTGAGACTTAACTGAGGTGGCATATTTATTACGGAAAACTGAATCGCAAACCGATTTCAAATCTAGGCATCATCTGTTGGGCCTGACGCCGTTGCGAAATGCAAGAATCCACTCGTCTCCACGCTGTTAAATCATGGCAGTGCCACAAGCACCAGAGCGAAGGACCTGGGTGCCTGTCCTGCTTCTCGTCTATACAAAGGTTTGAGCGAGGCCGACTTGAACAAATCAGCGGAATCAGCTGCGTGCAAATATTAAAGAAAGTTGGCAGCATGCTGCTCCACTTAACGACAGCCTGACCTGCCACTGTGGCTTTGTTGTGCGCAATAAAACAGGCCTTGATATCCACTCACGGAAACATGTGGCAGTTGATCCTCAACCACTCGAGTGAAATGGGTCAACCACATGTTACATCTGTCTAAAAGTTTGCAAAACACTTATAGGCCTCGGGAGACACAGGCATGTCCATAGAAGTTTATCACCCGCCTTTATTTTACTGAGCCTTCATTACTGACTCCACCACATGTATACGAATAATAAATATATTTTTGTTTCTCTAAGCAGCACATTTCTGACTATAAAAGTTATTATACATCGATCACTGTTTTATTACCACCTGTACTCAATGCACGTTACTTCACATATATATATATATATATATATATATATATATATATATATATAAGAAATGGACAAAGTCCGACAATTTATTTATTAAAGACATTTTATGTTTAACATTCTTTTTATAGATACAAGTATTTAAGTAAATGCTCTGTTTATAATAAACAGTATTAAATAACATTTACCGGCCTGAATATCCGAGAAAAATATTTTCATAGAAAATATTCGTCCTTTGACAGGATTCGAACCTGCATCCTATACGGAACCGTCATTTACGCTGACGTGCCTTAACCGACTCGGCCACAAAGGAGCGTTCAGTAGGCAAGGTCGAATGACCTTGCAGTTATGAATGTACGAGATTCATGGAAGATTGAAGTTTATAAGCGGTAAATTCGACCTTGCCTACCGAGCGCTCCTTTGTGGCCGAGTCGGTTAAGGCACGTCAGCGTAAATGACGGTTCCGTATAGGATGCAGGTCTATAAAAGATCTATAAAAAGAATGTTAAACATAAAATGTCTTTAATAAATATATATATATATATATATATATATATATATATATATATATATATATATATATTGGGAAATTATATGAGAAAGTGTAAAAGTTTATTTGTGGCGCGTTTCATCCTTCAGGACTTCATCAGATGAAACGTGTCACAAGTAAACTTTTGACACTTTCTCATACAATTACCCAAATACTGTTCTTGATATATAAACATATATATTATCTCATTCATACATATCATTATCTCATTCATATATATATATATATATATACATATATATATATATATATTATGAATTGACTACGTTCGACAATTATGTTAGTATATTTTTTGTTATAAATTGTTCAAAAGGGCAATCATGGGAAATTTGTAGTTTAAAACAGTAATTTGACCTTGCTAACTAGACGCTTCCTCTATAGCTAAATGGTATAGCACGTCAGGCTATATGACGATTGCGTGTAAGATGCATGTTAGTTTCCTGCCTGAGGACGGTTATTTTCTATGGACTTTCTCGGACATTCAGGCCAGTAAATGTTGTTAATACTGTTTATTATACACAGAGAATTTACTTAAATATTTGTGTTTATATAAATAGCGTACAACATTAAAATATATACGGGATGCGAATAGGTTTTATTAAATTCAACAACATGGTCTATTTTTTAATAGTATTTTTTGTGTTGCATATCTCGATCGAAATTATTGATAAACTATCCAAATTTCCTATTTCTTCTGCTACATCCTCTGTCTAAATTGTTAGGGATACTCTTCATCTTTAGGGGTGTTTTCTTATTGGAAAAACCAAATACAATTTTTGATTCCTGTCTGGAGTCACTGTTTTTCGTTGGTAGGACCAATTGATATTAATTTCACTGTTTCAGGGGACGAAAACAGTTATCAACTCATTCAGACGTATCAACTGAAAATAAAGTTAATAATAATAATAACAATAATATATATATATATATATATATATATATAGTTGGATTGATGTAAGTTAGTGATGACCCTGGGTTTCACGCTATAAATAGCGTGAAACCCAAGGTCATAAATTCACATCAATCCAACTAAATATATTAGCTCTATCACTGATATTGAGCGCTTACCAATAAGTACCGCGCATATATAATATATAAATAATATATATAAAAAATTGCATATATGTATATATTTATATGCGTAAACATTTCACAGACACCCCCTCACACACACACACACACACACACACACATATATATATATATATATATATATATATATATATATATATATAATGGACTCTCCCGTCGGTTTCGACGTATGAGGATCTGACAGCTTATGGATTCAGTTATGAAAGTTTATGCGCTAATCTTAAGTGACATTTAAGACCCGCTAGTGATTTACAAAGGAGGTCGCATATGGAGCAAGTGCGAGAGATTGTCAGATGAGATCACTGTTAGATTGGTTGACCTTTTAGATCTTGCTCTCGCT